GCTCAAGACTCCCCACAATTGTAGGTTAAAGTGAATTGTCCTGTAAATATTCAGGGCCCATCTCCTGGAGCAGAGTTCTCTGACCCAGCAGCACCACTGCCCCTGCACCCTGCTGTCCTGTGCAGAAGCAGCAGAGCCAGCCTGACTTCTCAGGCCTTGGCATTAAGCAGCAAGGGCTGGTTTGTTGCCACAGAGAGCTCCCAACTTGGCCTGTGACTACAGCCAGGGAGGAAATGAGGTGGGGGAGAAGATCTCCATGTCCAAGTGAACCCATAAACCTTGTCCCTTCCTCACATGCTGGTCAGTTGGATCTCGGCTTCTCCTGAGAGACTGTAATTATGTGGGGTTTGTTCATTAACCAGTGCAGCGCCGAGGTGGAGGCGGTAATGCACGTGATGGGAGCAGAGAAATCACACAGCTTTCGTGAAACAAAGGACATGGCTGGGCTCTGGCAAGAGGAGCAGAATGGCTGTTTATTTTTTCCAGACAGGGACTGGAGCTCACTGGGGTTTTTTGGGCTCTTGCTCTGTTTTTGTTTTGCTCCAGCTTTTAAGGATGAGAATGTTGTGTCTGACGCGTGTCAGCGAGCAGAGATTCACGAGCAGAGCTGGGCTCGTCTTGCTCCCCGGTGAGGAATAAAAGCATTGCCCGTCTCTCACTTCGGGAGGAGGAGGAGGGGCTGCGGGGAGTGAGAAGGCTTCCTCGGGCTGGGGTCGGGCTGGAGCACCGCGGATCAGCCCGGAGGCATCGCTGGGAAAGCCGCAGACAGAAATGTGCGTGCAGGGGCTGCGGGGCGAGGGCTGCCGTGGCTCGTGTGGGTGCAGGGCTGCTCTCCACATTTATGATCTTTGGGGAAAGCAGTCAGGAAAATGGATTGAATAAAGAGCCCTTTTTCAAGGAAGCAGAGAAAATGGCCACTTCTACAGCCCTGTGTTGGAACTCTAAATGATGCTGTTATTAGAGCTGTTAAAAACTTAAATTAATAAGAGTTGTATCCACATTTAATCCCAGTCTGGTACCTGCAAATCTGATTTTGCATCCAGGGAAGCTGCTGTCAGTGGAGCCACCAAACTGCAGGTGTGGTGCTGGTGGGGAGTGAAGATTCTTTGTTCTGTTTATTTCTTCATGGTTGCATCTGTTTTTGTGCTTTGAAGTCTGCAGGTTTTTTCCAATATTTAGTGAATTTTAAGTTTATTTCACTTCTTTAGTGAGGCAGATAAAGCAGCGAGGGAGGAAATATGAGGAAAGGGGCTAAATTCAGAATCACTTGGGCCACATACACAACCTGTAACCATAAGGTGTAAAGGTGTAATTTCCATTAATTAAAGCACATTATATTGACCCATCACTTCCAAATTTCAGCTAGATCTCATATGGAACTTCAGAGTGCAGCTCACCTAAAGCAGGACACATAAGGTTAACAGAATTGTTATGTTTTAAAATTATGTCTCAATACCATTAGTCTTTCCTATGTATGATTGAGGAACGATGTTTTGTTCACTTCCAACCCAATCAGTTTCACAGCACAACAGCATCAATTTCCAGTACAGTTAAATTTATTCCAGTATGGTCCTGTGAAATGGTCTGACATGCTTTCAGCTAAATGACAATTTGATGGGATGTGAAAACCACAGGAGTCAGGAAGAAGGTAATAGTCTGTGAGCAGGCTTTATCTGTCTTGCTACAAGAGCTTGGCTTCAAGGGGAACAAAACACAACACTGAGGAACCTAAAGCAAGGAGGGGCTGGGCTGGGCTTCACAGGGAAGCAGAGGTTGCTGGTCTGGTTGCCAGTGACTTAGATCAACCTTTGTCACTTTGCTACCTTGTGCAGTGTGGAAGGAACCAAAAAGAATCCTTCACTAAAGGAGGAAAATTATGTGTGTGAATGGGGAGCCTTTTTCTCTGAAAACTATAACAATATAATCTACATCCTCTGGTTTGCAAGGAAACAATCTCAGAACTGAAGTTACCTCGGGCTGACAGAGCAGCCAACAGGATGAGCAGGAAACAGGAGTTTGTTGCTCGGGCTCAGGACTGCAGTGGGTGTCATTGGGATGTCACAGATGTCACTGCAGAGATGTCTCCTGCAGAGCACTCAGGTTTATTCTCCAAGCACCCTTTCAGGCACTGGATCACTTGTCTGTGCACAGGCTGTGGCTGCTTCTCACTTTGGTTCTTTCCAAATGTACAGCAGCTCTTGTATGGTGATTGCAACCTCAGCAGTGCTACTTAGAATCACCAGCAACTATGATCTAATAAAAATATGTTTATTCTCTGTAAAATGCATTTTAAATAAATACCAATCTTTTGACTCTGAGCTCCTGGTAAAGTATCTTATATTAATGAAATTATAAATAGCAAGTGCCAGTTCTGTGCCAGTTCTGACAGCACAGAAAAGAACACATTGTGAAGCCAAACACCAGGTTTTTGTGCCCCAATTTTGTTGCTTGTTGAGTGCTTGTGAAAAAGATAATTTTTATTTCATTGTTCTTCAACTTAAATACAGCTGCCATTGAAGCCTTTGCTGTTATTTCATCACACAGCCAGGAGAGCACCTGCAGGGACACATCCTTGGTGGCAGATGTGGGGTGACCTGTTTCCACCTCTGCCTCTGGTGCCTGGGTATCAGATCCAGTAACATTTCTGTGTGTGCAGTTCTGAAAGGCCATCACAGCTCTCGTGTAAACTCTTCTGTTACCAAAGTTTACCTGGAAACAACACTAAAGGCCAGATGGCTTCAGCTTTCTGAGAAATTTTTGTCAACCAAGGAGTTGCTCTGCAGCTCCCAGTGCTCACCAGAACGTTTGCAAAAGACCAAATGAAATTTTGGTTGGAGCATCAAAGACATCTAAATACACTTACATCTTGTTCTCATATTTTGGTTCTGCTCTGACTTACATAGAACACAGGTCTAACACTTTTACACAGAATTAAAATTGCTTATACTTTTGTTGCACTTTTGAAGTGATTTAATTTTGTTTTGAAGCATTTTCTGGTGTATGCAGAGTTTACTGGCACTGTCCTGACCTTGGAGAAGTGTGATATTTTACAGTGTGCAGCGGCATTTATGTACCCAACCTGGCTCAAATAAATAGGTTAATTTCCACTAATTAAAGGCCAGGTTTCCAACATAACAAGGTGACACAATAATTCTGTGATGACCTTTAGGATCACAACTGGGGAGGACAACTGGGCAGTCCTTTGTCAACTGCAAATCCACAACTTCTACAAAAATTTTTTCATGTAAAATGTTGGAAGTGTAGGAAAAAAAACAGATTTATAGTTTCACATAACACCAAAACCCTGAATACATGGGACAAATAACAACTGACAGATTTATGATAAATTACTTGAAATTTTAGATTATATTCTTTGCACATCCCAACTTAGTCTCCATCAAAGTATCTCCTGAAGTAAAGGTACCTTAAATGATAGAATGTACAATATAAAACATTAATGTCAGGACAGAGTTAATTTCAAACATTGGAATAAGAGTCAGGAATGTCCAACTGCAGATGCCGGACAAAGAATTTATTTTGGTTTTCAAAATTAAACCATGGCTCATCTGGATCTGGATTTCACTTCATACAAACATCCACTGAGTATTTGGTGCTTTGATTCTTTAATATAATTCTTTAAAAGCCAGTGGAATTCCCCTTTTATTTGGCCTAAATTAATGTAATTTAATTGCTACTAAAATGACATATCAATCATTATTATACCTGTTTATATAAATCAGACAAGAATAAGATCTTGTGACCTTAAAATAAACTGAAGAACCACATACCACATGATTAAAATAAGCAAGAGATACAAACCTGGCAATGACAAGAAAGCACACTGAATTTAAATGTTGTTCTTACAATTATCTTGGTTGTCCAAAGAACAGTGTACACAGGTTATGGTTAGTAGCTAAACTACAATTTAAATTCAATTTCCAGAGTCTGATTCCAAGTTATTCTTTATTCTGGTTTTTAAGTAAAGTGTCTGAAGTTACTTCTGCTATGCGTTCTCCTTCTTGGGCAATCTTTCCAAAGGATATGACTCATTTCTCCATTATTTGTAAAGAGTATGGAAAAAAGTAAAATATTATTATTTTGTGGGCATTTGGAAATGGATGTTAAAAAAAAAAAAAAAAAGGTGGGATGTTGATCATTGTGAATCATTTCTTGGGAAGAAGGGAAGAACAAACACTGGCTGCTGCCTTACTGCTGTGGCAGCCAAGGACTTCGTGCTGACTCAAGCAGTAGATATTGATGGCTGCAGAACACAAAGGAGATCTTGCAGCAGGGCTAAAGGGAAAACCTTTCCCCTCTAAGTGATAAGGAGTTAGAGGGAGCTGCCTGTGTTGATTTCCTGGAGGCTCTTTTTTGCTTAAACAACCTCCTGGTCTGAACACCTTGGCTGGTTAGAACTGTATCATGCAAGCAGCTGCTGCAGCTCAGTGAATCTCCTCCTGGGTTTCCAGGAATCCTGGCAAACCTTCAGGTGCACAATGAAGAGCAAGACTGAACTCAGGGCACTGAGGGAGCCACCCCAGTAACTCCCAGAGCAATCACTGCTGGCTCTGAGCATCTTTCCCTGCCTGGTGCAAACATTGCTTTACACAGAACTGAAGCAATAGAAATCCCTTGTAACCCATCTGCATACTGATCAACTAAAGGAAAAGCTCTGCTTTGATACCAAAACTGATTTTTCAAAGTGACTCTGGGTCACTGTGGCCATTGTGTACTTTATTTCTTTACTAGGAACTACTCACTTCCTTTTGTTTGTAACTGCACAAAATATCTGCAAAGCACACCCAAAACAAACCCAGAGTATTTTATGAGTAGAGGTTCTCATGGAGAAACAATTATAAAATATTGTACTGTCATTCCAATTTCCAGTGAATATTTTTAAATTATAGACTTATTAGTGATAATAAAAATTTTTTAAAAATTAAAAAAATTAAAAATTTTTATTCACTGTTATTTCTAAGTTACAAGCAGAAGCTCTGAAGCAGAGTTAGCAGCCTGGATGTCATAGATTCAATGAAGTAAAATGAAAATATTCACACTTCACCAAAATGATTGTGGATTTTTACATAATAACAGAAATTCTCAACAGTCCAACAGTCCACTCCAGGATATTTCCTTAGGAATGCAGATGCATCTTTGTGCCTCTTTATTTCATAATGTCACTCAGAGGGCTCACATGGTCACTTCATACTACAGACAGATCCTTTGCAGCTTTGGATTTGATAATCGTGTTCAAGTGCCAGTGCTGGAACACCAGATCTCCAGCCAATAAATCCCTGGGTTGTTTTCGGTACTGGAGGAGATGGAAGCACCTAAAATCAAAGTAACATGCAAAGCTGAATGATGAAAAGATTTTTGGTTGAAGTTTCTGTCATGCAAATATTGTTTTTTGTGCTGTAGTGTTCTAACACAACAGTCAAGTCATTGTTTAGTAGTGTATGTTGGAATTTTTTTTTTTCCAAGTTTGGTTCAATACTAAGGGCTTTAATTGCTTAACATTATTAGAATTTTTATTATTATTATTACGTATGGAAAAAGCTCAAGCAGAAGATAATCATCATCATCTTTAAAACTAATTAACTTCTGTAAACAGGAGAAATAGTGTTTCCTCCTTGCTGTAATATATTTGGTAACATTGCAGCTATGGAATAATAATTTTAAATCCAAATGCCAAAGATGTTACTGACCAAGATGGCTTTTATATCAAGAACTACTTATTCATTCTACCTTCCTACTACTTTAAAAGATGGGTTACCAAGTTAATCTGCAACTAATCTAGCTAAAAAGGAAACAAAACAAAAGCCAACAGACTCTGTTCAGTGACTGCTGTGCTTACTTTGGCTGAATCATCTCAATTGGGCACGTTCTATCATTTCAGCATCTGGGGACTTAGCAGAGAAATACACAGCAAGAGAACAATGTTTCAGTTCTCTTGCCAGAGTTGCTTCACTTTGTTCTTTGGCCAAGATTAGAAAATGTTTATGATATTTAGGTGGAGCAGTTCCTCAGAAAAGATAATTTTTATGGCCAAAAGTGCCACCCACTGAGCAGGATAATGAAGGAAATCATGTCCCACTTTCGGTCTGGGGGAGGGGACTGTGCAGGAGCTTTTATTAGTCTAACCTAGAGAGAACAGATTTGACTGTTACCACAAGGTAAATGTGCAGAAAGGCAGTTCTGAAAAGGATGTATGAAACTTCACTCTGAATATGTAAAGGGTGACCTAAATCACAGCCAAGCCTTCTCTTCCTCCCTGCTCTGAGGTGAAATGGAAACTCTGTTCCAGCGTGCACCAGGCGCTGATAACTGCAGGATTTGTTAATGCACCAACACCCTCACGGGGCTGGGACTCCACTGAAACTGCAGCTGGGCTGAGACTGGAGCCTTGGGACAAAACTGAAGAACAAGTAGCAGTAATGGTAGAAATTGTGCCATTTCATTGCTTTCCCACACTCAGCACTAGCTCTTAATTTTTATTTGAATTTAATCTCAGTAAAAGCTTTTACTACTTCCATACCTTATCTCCCCACCCTTGGAATCCTTTGAAAGAAAGCTAGTTCAGCAAGTAAGAACTTCCAATCTCCTTTATTTCCCTAATCTTCTCTAAGTGGACTAACCTTCCTTTTCATTAGCATATTCTGCTTCCCCTTTTGTAAGTTCCTCTCCCAATGTCACTGCTTTAGCTGCCTGTGGACTCACCCTGTTCATTGGTGATCCTGGCACACTGTATTTATAAATTAAACCACCAGGTCACATTCTACTCTCCAGCTGTTTGACAGCTTTAAGACTCTGAATATACATATAAATCATAGAAAACAAAATAATTATGACTTGGCTTATTAGAACTGGCTTCTTATTAATATGTGCTACAGAAGAGGACAGTGGTATTGCCTCTGACAAAAAGCAGACTCTTAAATAAAGGTAGAAAAATTGCAACCATACCCAAAGGGCAATTCCTTGTCTTAAACAAATGCTTTTAAAGCATAGTCTGGCTTGCAAATGCAGTTTACTTTGACCTTTAGTTAAAGACCCCCCTCTATAAGAACACTGGTTTTCAGAGCTTGTGTGGTTTCTTAAAACAGATGTTGTTGTATTGCAATTTTAAAATCTAATTTTCTAACCTTAATGTATTTTTCCACAGGTGTCACAGGTCGAACCTGCAGGTGATCTGGAAGCTGTAGCTTGGGCTTTGCAGCTTCTTTCTTTTCATCTCCAAGCAGCTAAAAACAAAACATATTTAAAAACTGCAGCCTTTATTTTTGGAAATATACTATAATATGTGAAATCCACACCATTCCCCTCATTGTTGCATATGAAATTCCTGTTCTTTCCACCTCAAGCAGGATTACTTATTTCAGTGCTTTGGAAATTACTGGACTTTTTTTTGTTTCAGAAGACACACAAACTACATTTATAAATATGTAGGGCTGCATCAATCCTGTTCTTTAGCAATGAAATACTGTGATTCCAAATGTAACATCATGTGCTACTGTATTCTAGTATCTAAACATCACTGAGAAGAGACATCACTCCAAATATTTTCATTTGTTGTAGATTCCCCCACTGACAATTTAATTAGCTGGAACCTTTTCCCCTAGATTTTTAAAATACCATATGGAGAGACAAAGGGGAAATATTTTCCTGTCAGTGTGCATCTAGTACTTGTTAGCACTATTAGGAGTCATGCTTCTCAAGAGAAATATATCAGAATATGCACAGCATATAAATTACCACTTGATGTATTTTATTCAAAAGAAAAACGGAATATTTGAACCATTTCAAAAGTAGTGCAGTTGCTACCTTGGATGCCAGCATAGTAAAGCATACTCAGTACACTTCTTCTGTGCTCTCATAATTTTGTGTCCAGATAAATTTGTGCCCAAGTAGATTTCATGTGTTGCTTATCTTATAAGCCATATTACATGCCGTTCAATTTTACCTCTTCAAGAGGCGTTTTCAAAAATCCCCATTTCTCAGCCCATCTTTTTGCAGCATCTCTTTCGTTTTCAATACGATTTTTCCTGCAACCAACACAAAATATTTAAGATTACTTTGAAAACTTGAATAAAAAAAATCCGCAACACACCAAGCCAACTACTGATGTCACAAAGCACAGCACTTTAGCTGGAATCTTTAAACTTCCATCTCAAAGCAGCGCGTTCATATACAAATTATCATTATCTTGACTCAGAGCTAATGGGAAAATACCTTCCAGAGGTTTGAAACATTGCATGTGAAACAGTGAACACTGCACGGGAACACTGCACTGCTTTTAAGTTATGTTAAGAAGCAGAGGAGGTTGAAAAATAAGCACCAATGATGCTTTCAATATACTTTCTCATTTACTGCATTGACTGACGAGATGCCCCGACCCCACAGCCGGAGGGGTGCACTGGAGCCAGCTCTAAATCCCTTTTTTATTTTGACTTTGATGCCAAGGCACGCTTCACCCAGCGCACAGCTCTTTAAACACACGAGAACTCTCTCAGCGCGGAGCTGCGGGCCGGGAGGGCAAGGTGGACGGCGGCAGCAGCAGAGCAGCGGTACTGCCGGGGCCGGGCGGGCTGTTACCAGTTGTTGTCCTTCGCTATGAAGTTGGTGGGCTCCATCGGGGCCGCGCCGCCTCAGCCCCGCCTGAGGGACCCGCGATCCGCCGCGGCCCCTCGGGCGTTGCGGGGCAACGGCGGCGGCAGGGGCGGGAACTCATGTGGGCGGGCACAAGATGGCGGGAGGGGCGGGAGCGTCTTCAATGGAATGTTGGGAAGTGCCCTCACACTCCCCGAGGGGAAGGATCCCCTTCTCTCGTCCTTTGGGAGCTCTCCGGTGGCACTACAGCCATGTCTCAGGGGGAAAAAGCAAAATGATTCCCGCTCGCTGCTTTGTCGAGGCCCCTCAGGCGGGCACAAGATGGCGGCGGGGGGAGCCCCGGTGGGCGGGCACAAGGCGGACGGAAAGGGCGGGAACTCGTGTGGGCGGCACAAGATGGCGGAGGGGCGGGCCCCAGGTAATGAGGGGGCGTGCCATAACGCATATAATAAATTAATGTCGGAATGTGCTTATGTAGTGTTTGAGGGGCAGGATTGCCTTCTCTTGTCTTTTGGAAGCTCTTAGGTGGCACCACAGCCATTTCTCAGGGGAAAAACAAGCAAAACATTCTCACTCCCTGCTTTCTTGAGGCCCCTCAGGAGGCTGGGTGAAGTGCTAGGTAGTTTTTTTTTTTGTATGCCTTTAAATGAAGGAAAACACATTTGGGTTAAGGTTGTGAAAAGCTTCTTTTTAACCTGCTGTCCTGTTCTGGGTCCTCTTGCTACACATCAAAATTGTTTTTTGGTAATTTCATTGGGAAACACCAGTCCTGTGATACAGTGTCTGTCTGGTCTCTTTTTCTGATAAATGTCCTTTACAAGCTACATGCCTATGACAGAAATTCTGAGAAAGATCTCAGCATACTTCATGGCTTCTATGTGAGAACCCAGAATACATATATAGCTTATAAATAGTTCATTGTGTCCCAATATGTTAATTTTTTTGGTAATTTTATTTTCTTGCATTTGCTGGATAAAATATTTCAACAATGAGTGGAGCCAGCTGGCTCTTTGCCCTCATGGGTTTAAATGGTTCCTCGACCTCTTGTTGTCTGGAAATTGACTTGTGTAAACACCCTGAAAATAGGTAATGGGACTTTCACACTACTGGGCACTTATTATCCTTATTAGAAAATAAATGCAGACTGGTTTTGACTTCAGCTGAGTGGTTTAGAGGCAGTGTGTTTGATTGTTTAATTATTAGACTTCTTTAAAAAAATCTGAAGTACGGAAAGCATTTAAATATTTGAGTACAAGAAGACTATATGCATTTCTTAGTTATTTTAGAAGTACTAAGAATGTCTGTTTGTATAAGACAAGAATAAAAATGCCTTCTGTAGTTCTAAAATAGCAATTAATACTGCTCTTCTGGGTCTCTGAAAATCATTAAAGTATCAACAAATGGAATATTTCACTTGCACGCCATTTCTTGATTCTCTAATTGATAATTAGGCTCGCAATTAAATCAGCTGGGTCTCCTATCACACCCATAAATGCTTACTCATTGTCCTACTTAATTAACTCCTGCTGCTTTGTCACATTTATCTCAGGAGTTTTCTTACTGCTTTGATGCTTTCCTTGAAAAAAGATAATTTGTTAACGAAACAATCAAATCTGTAGCTTACTGTGTCAGGGCTTTGTCAAGAAGAAAGGAGAGGTGAAACCTCTTGCAGTGGCACTGTGGAAATAGAACTTTGTCGTGCTCGAGTTCAGCGTGTGAGCAGCAGGTCCCAAGCTCTGCCGTGGTGCCTTGGCTCTGGCTGGGTGTCTGGCAGCTGGCACTGCTCTGCCTGGGCTCTTGGGCTGGAACAGGCAGCAAAAGCCCTCCACTGATGGCACATCACAGCACGGAGGAGGGGAATGAAGATGTCCCGAAGGAAAGCCCCCGTGGGGTGCACCAGGCTGTGCTCTCTGTGTTTCTCAAGTGCACCTCTCACCCAGAAGTGCCATCTTCATGTCTAAAATTTGAAGAGCAGCTTTGTTATTTTCTTTCAGCTGCACTGATCTGGTGTCTTCCCTCCACATCAGAACCTCTGCAAGTGATGCTCTCTGCTGAGGTGTTTATAGATCCATTTATAGATCCATTTATAGATCCATTTATAGATCCATTTATAGATCCATTTATAGATCCATGTGTATCTGTGCTTAGGCTTTTGCGTTAAAAATGTCTGCCAAAAAATAATAGTTAGTAGTGGCAGTTTCGTGTTTGCTGCTCCACAGTTTGCAATGTCAGGTGTGGAAGTCTAAAAGGGGAATATTTGAGCATAATTTCAGTGTCTTTTTGTAATGTTTTTACATAATATTTCAGATGTAGGCAGCCCGAGACTGCCGTGTTATGATTACTGTGATTTAAGTAATGAAGTCCCATTGACACAGACTGGTTTCATTTAAAAAAGCCCTGCTAAAGTCTATCACATCAAGAACATGTTAATTGGAGTTCCTGAATTTCCATTTATGAACGTAATCCAACAGCCTGGTTAGAATCATTATATGTTGTGGCAAAATTTAGAACTCTCATCTTATTGTGGCTATAATTATCCAGTGGCTTTTGAAACAGTGAGGGCATGTTTGTTTTCCCAATGATATGTTCCTTTTTTTTAATCCATAAAATGGCACTTACAGTTACAGCTTTATGCAGATTTCTGTGCTTGAAAAATTCAGTAATTCCTGGGATTTTATTTGGTTTTGAGCAGATTAATTTCTTTTTATTCAGACTAAAGATTTACATGAGAGCCTGCTTTACAGTAAACCTGGTGGATACACTTATATTTCTGTTGTACTGGGTGGAAGAACTACATGCCCTCAAAACAAAATTATTTGTTCTATGGACATGGAGACCTTTGTCACTTTCAAACTGGAGAAGGTGTTTGCATTAAAATCCCCGTGTCCCAGCATTGTCTCAGCACAGCTCCCCAGGTGTGGTTGCAGAGATCTTGCAGAATGCTGCCCTGGTGCAGTTTCAAAGAATACAGCCACCACTTGTAGCCACTGCAGGAATTTCTTGTAAATGCCAATGTGCAACACTTAACAAAACTCCTGCTGGTATGAGAACTACCTAGGCACCATATGAATTAAAGATGAATGAGAAAGACACAATTTTAAATTTTGTTGCATTGTATAAACTGAAATCAAACTCTTAATGGTCTTTGAAAGTATTTTTTTGTTTCAGTACAGCTCATGTTTGAAATCAGAAAGCGTCTCCTTTTTTCCTTTTGCCTGAAAGGCAGGGGGTCTGGGACATTTTAACAGCTTTCATGGCCTACTCTGCAAATATATTATTGCTGCACAATAGTTTCTTTGCATGAGAATTGCTTAAATGATTCAAAAAGGATTGGAAAATATATTTCAAGTTTTAATTTTATGCACAGAACGTTAATGAGCAGTGCCCCTTAGAGACTTGCTGTCAGTTTAACATATTCACAATAATCTCAACACAGATGTTATTCCATCGAAATCCTTTTAGAGGGAAGAAACCAGTAATTTTTCCTTAGAGAATGTCAGAAAATATGTTATTGTTGGAAATTACATTTTGATCCCAGAATGCTATGTAAAAAATCATTGCTAGGAAGAATAAGTAGCGCATTGTTTCTGAGGCAAAATGCATGTGAAACTTTCTTGTGCCTCCTGTAAATTTTAAAACAAGTGAATGTTCTGTTAGTCTCATGCAATTTTGCTTCCCTTGAGGGTGATTGCAGGCAGTGATGGGATATCAGCATCTAATTTTATTCTAATTTAAGAGTGGATTTGTTAGAAGTTCAAATTTCTCTATTTGTAGCCATCACATGATGAATTTATTGTCTCTTTTGGATACATTTTCCTCTGCATTCTCTGAGCATATAAATTAAAATACTTGCTAGAAAGAAAGCACATACTTGGAATAACAGGTTTTTTTGTTGGAAAACGGTTTCAGTACCCTTTCTGTTTTGTGTTCTTTCTTCTCTCTGCCTGTGTTTTCTTTCTTCTCTCTGGTGCACTCATGTTGTACTCTGCTTGCTTGGTCTTGCCTGAGAACAGCTCTGAAATAATGCTGGTACTACAAAAATGACAAGATTGTAAATATTATGTTGCTCAATATTGGAGGAAAATTTTTCTGTTCCACTGAATCTGAACTGAATCTGATCTCCAGTGGAGAAGCTGTAGCCAGTTCCCTGGAGAGACCCCAGCCATATGGGAGTGGTGCGTAGGTAATGTGAAAGAGGACATTTGGGAAAGTGTTGGATGACTCAAAGCAATGGTTCTGCAATGTTCCCAGGTTCTAAGAACACTTCTAGGACTGCATAAGTAAAAGAAGCATAGTTGGGAGTGGAGTGCAGAGTGCACCCATCAGCTCTGTGCAGAGAGAGCTGGTTGGAATAAGTCCCATCAGGTTTTTCAGAACTTGTTTGGAAGAGGAGGAGGGTGAAACATGAGGGTGCAGTCCACCCATGACCAAAATCAGGAGAATTTCCAGTCAAAGAAATGTTTGTTTCCAGTTCCAGTCAAATGTTTCAACCTCTTCTTGGGAAAGAAGCAGCTCCTATGGCCCCTTAGTGGGTACTTGACAGAAGGAAAGGTTGCAGTTGCATAACACAAAGTGGGATCTCACTTTCCAGTCTATTTTATGAGCCCTGCTGCACAGAATGGCAGGGATGATGACCTGGTAAAATTTCAGGGTACTGCAGTGGAATATCCTTTATGAAAATGTATTTATTTTGCAAAGGTAAATATCTTGACCTCCAATAGCTTCTAATGTTTGTACTCTGCCATTAGGAACAGTCCAGAGAAAATCTCTGTTTAGATGATGGTAGAAAATAGCTGCAAAACTGTAAACAAACACAAAAAGGACAAAATTTCCAAACATTTGCTTTAAATAGGATACATTTTACTTAAAGTAACAAGCCTGGAGAATGAAATTCCATTCTGTTGTAGAACACAAAGAGAAAGAAATGCATTCGGCAGCAATCTGTTGTTTTAATAGCAGCTATGGGAAGTCTTGGGGTTTAGATTATTCACACTGTCATACTCGTGTCTAGGTTCATCTTCTTTTATACTTAGTTGCACTCAAAATGCTCAGTTTTTGATGTATGCACTATAGGTAATGTTGCCATAGTGAAAATGGTTG